GGATAAATATTGTGAATTTCTTTTTTCGGTTAATGATAATGTTATCAAACTTATCAGAAGATACGAAAAAATTTTACATAAAATAAATAGACAACACTTGTCTATATTATTTAATGAAACGTGTATAAATATATAGATATATAGATGCCTGTGTGTGTGTGTATTAGGGGAAAACAAGGTGGACAAAATGTTTGGGGTAAAACGTTTCGTTCTTTAGGACTCTATGGGACTAAATTTATGTTTACATTGCGCATGCTCACGGATGATGGACGCTGGGAATTTAAAATTTGAAGACAATTTTTTTAAACATGTTTTTACTATATAAACATAAGTGATGGTAACACAAACGAACAGAATCTAAATGAAATCGGATAGACTATATGAATGAATATAGCATATATATATATATATATATATATATATATATACGCAGAAAAAAGAAAAATACTGGATTTTAAAATTAAATACATATAAACTAGGTTTAAATAAAGACTTGGGTATTTTAAATCTTTATAAATATTTCAATAGTTAAACATTTTTTAGATATACAGTATAACCCGGATATAAGAGAGTTGTCGGGACCGGAGAAGAAGTCTCTTATATCCGGGTTTCTCTTATATCCGGGTTTGGTCTATTTTATATACATTAACACGGGCTCTAATTTGGGACCAGAGAAAATCTCTCTTATATCCGGGTTTCTCTTATATCCGGGTTTGGTCTATTTTATATACATTAACACGGGCTCTAATTTGGGACCAGAGAAAATCTCTCTTATATCCGGGTTTCTCTTATATCCGGGTTTCTCTTATATCCGGGTCTCTTATATCCGGGTTACACTGTAGTAAAAAAAATTTTTTATTTCTTATTTTATTTTTTTAATTTTTTAAACAACATCTAAGATATTATTACAGTTAGATTTACGTTAAGAATATTCATACACAGCGGCGTTCCATATCACGTGACGTCCGCATCTCGCAACGGACGCTACTTGTAAACAAACAGTTATTTCTGAAGAAAGATTGAGGCCAATCTTAAATATCAAATATATATACAAATAAATAAATACTTTACATAAAAGTACATTATTATTTTTTTTAATTTGCAACTTTTTCTATATATACATATTAAGAAAGTATACGTGACTTCTCATTATGCTATATATATATATATATATATATATATATATATATATAGCATAATGAGACATATATATATATATATATAAACAAATGTTTAGAGGTACAAAATTTATATATAGTTTTAAAAACAAGGAATGTATTGATTTTAATTTTAAAAGTCTCTAAGGCCCTTTCAACCAACATCTCATCAGGAGACAATCGTTGGATCAACGAAAAGAATATTAACGACAATGAAGAGCAAAAACAGGGGGGGGACGCACTAAAATAAGAAACAAGTGTATATATTTGTAACGAGGGGAAGGGAAATAATCGTGTAAATAAATTAGCGAGGGACAGTTAAAATAAAACATCCCCCAACAGATTAAGAGACTTTACAAATTCTTTCTGCCGGCAGAGAGAAGGTTTCCTTAATCCTATACAGACTGATTCCAAAATCTTCAAATGATTGTTGGAATCGGCTGTATGAATAATTTTAAACCACTCTTTTTTAAACGACTTGGCGCAGGCTATATTCTCAACTAAATGTAGAGCAATAGCCGATTCCATATTCATGGGGGGAAGATAGCATATTTTATCTATCTTACCAAGTCGTATTTTGGAAGGTCCATGCAGATTGATTCTAGTTTCCAAAGAAAGAATTTGTAAAGTCTCTTAATCTGTTGGGGGATATTTTATTTTAACTGTCCATCGCTAATTTATTTACACAATTATTTCCCCTCGTTACAAATATATACACTCGATTTTTTATTTTAGTGTGTTTCCCTCCTGTTTTTGCTCTTCATTGTCGTTATATATATATATACATATATATATATATATATATATATAGTTTATGAAAAACTAGGTAATCCGTATGGGTAAACCTAAGGAGGATAAAATCCAGAGAGCTCAATGTAAATCTGCTAACTCACTCATGTCTTCTCTCTCCCCCCTCACTTCGTTAATATACATGTTTAATACGACCCGTTAAAAATGTGTATTTATTTAGTATTGTTCGGGACCCTAAATTAATTTCTTTTTAGTTTCTTGTTTCGCCTCCTCCTTTTTAAATATTTTGTTTATATTTATATATTAAAAATTAAAAATGTCCGTGTTTAAAACGCTAAAACAGTAAGCAGTCTTGGTTAGAGGCTACGAAGGGTTATTCAACAAACGATTATGACAAGTGAGATTTTTAAACTTTTCTTCTATATATTTTTGGATTTTCTAGAATGTAGTCCAGCTCCCGCCAAACACGCTGTAGCATGTCTTCCGTAACAGGCTCTAGCGCCACGGTGCTTCTCTGCTTAACTTCCGCTAGGCTTTTAGGAATAGGGGGATATAGACCTGTCCTTTCACATAGCCCCAGAGAAAAAAAATAATCGCAGACTGCCGAGTAAGGTGAACGTGGTGACCATTTCAACAGCACATTGGCATTACCACTGGCACGCCGGATTCTTCTTCTTGACCGACTCAACATTTTTTAGACATTTTCTTAAAATTTGAGATCATTTGAACGAGAATTCGCTATGTTATTAAACCACAAAATGGTGTGAATTTTGGGGGGAAAACATCCTGTATAATTCCTTCAGTCTTACCCTTAGAATCTGGTCGCTTGCGAATTGATTGTCATCAGTATTGTGACAGGAAACGGAAGCAGCGTTTCAGCTGTTGTTCAGAGACGGAAATAGCATGTCGGCCATATTGTGCATATGCGAATAAAAAGCAGGAGTATAGCTCCTGCAGACAGAAGTCACCAGACAAAATTGCGCTGTCGTTGTTATTACAGATCCCGGTTAATTTGCGACTGTAACACCCGCGCTCAATTCGCATTAAACATTTCCAAAGTACTTTCATTTATGTGTAATCCTACATCCTCCATTAGAATCTGGCTTGATAAATAAGATAAAATCTACCGTTTTGGAATTATCGACAGTGAAAGTTCGGATTCATTTGCGTCATTGGCAGCAGCCATTACTGGCGTTGTTTACATTCGCTGCGGAAATCTAAACGCGGAAGACTACGAAAAGCCAAGCGCGGAACTAATTTTTCTTGTCTAGATTTGTCTCAATTACTGCGCACAAGAACTATTTACGTAGACACGCTCAGTTTGCGCAATGATACCTACACTGATAGCTATTCTGCAGTGAATATATGCAAACAACGCCAGTAATGGCTGGCTACGACGCGAATGAATCCGAAATTTCACTGGTGATATAACTGCAAATGGTACATTTTATCAAATTTATCAAGCCAGATTCGAATGGAACATGTACAATTACACATAAATGTAAGTTTTCTCGAAATTCTTAATGCGAAATGAACGATGGTGCTACTCTGCAAATTAACCCTATATACTTTTAAAAAAAAGTCTGTTTTAAACCTGAATAAAATTATTTTTAGCCTCCACATGCTGTCTATTGCTCGGGACCCTAAATTCATTTGTTTTACTGTTCTTGTTTCGCATCCTGCTTTTTAAATATTTTGCTTATATTTATATATACGGACCCCTTTGCCAAGTTGTGACAGTATTTTTCCTTCGGTGAAAGAACCCAACATGTAGAGGATTTTGACTCCAGTTTTATTGTATTTGATTTTTTTGCTTCTTGTTTCGATTTTCCTGTTGATTTTGTGGCAGTTATATCTACTTCAAATGTATTTTCCAGATTTAACCAGAATTATCTTGTATATTTTGGAGTTTCTTATCATACAAAATAAAACCTTTTTTTTTTTCCTTTTTTTTGTATGCACTATTAATACTTGCAACGACGATTCTTGTCGTGCAAGACAAGGTCTTAATAAATCCATTGCTTAAATTTTGCAAAACAGTTTCAGCTGAATCATCACCTTATCCCCACTATTATTATTATTATTATTATTGTGTCGTATCATCTTGCCAGAGAATAATTTCAAGCGCCCAATTACTAAATCCCTTCCAGAGTCTATGAGTAAAAACAGGAACTGTAGAAAAGTTATGTATGCCCATTTGGGATATTTCATTTAGATGGATAAGGATTTGCGGATATGTGCAGTTCCGTACAGAGTAATCTTTTCTATATTTGTCTAGGCTATTTCAATCTTTCTTCAATCTGTATTGATAGGATAATCCCAGAGGATGGCAACATCTACTCCCTCAACAAAGGATATTCATATCAGTTTTGCAGCAAAGCTGATGTGTCCAGGGATTTTGCTCACATAATTTTTCGTACCTTTCTTTGGCATGGACCAATGCCCGTATCACAAAAGGGATAATCGCAGTTTTAAGGTCCTATATTTTTTGCTACATAGATTTGGGGGTCCTTATAATTTGGCAGTATTTGAAATTCTTTTTTAGAAATATTGGAAGCCTGTCATATCGATTAGTTGGCAGGGCTTTTGTAAAAAATCTTTTGTGACAATGTTTCGTCTATTTGAATCAATTTTCTTGTCTGTGGGGATTGAGATATTCCACAATATATTCATTCTATTATTATTATTATTGTTGTTGTTGTTGTTGCTTTATTTCTTTTGCTTTCTGGTATATACCCACTTCTTTCCGTGTGCCGACCAGAGACCTAAGGTTAAAAATGGCATCATGACATTTTCCACTGAGCAGTTTTGAAAAAAATAGCACATATTTTAGATAGATAAAGCCATTCGTAAGGTGTAGACTGTACTTCTTAGTATTATTATTATTCTTATGGTTCAGGTTAGGATCAAGGAAGGACAACACGAACACAAGAGTAGAAATAACGAAGGTATATTACACGAAATAATAATACAAGATGTGGAAGGTGTTAGTATGACTGTCAGCCTGGTTTGGAGTGAACTACTATCGGCTCGACTCGATTCAACCCTCTCTCTTGAGAGCCGTAGTATACATAGTGTTAGTTCATTCTGTAGTTATAGGTAAGGACCTATGACAGATAGATAGATAGATAGATAGATAGATATTAAAGTGACTTAGTGTTATGGTCCAGGTTAGGACCAAGGAAGAACAACATGAACACAAGAGTAGAAATAACGAAAGTATATTACACGAAATAATAATACAAGATGTGGAAGGTGTTAGTATGACTGTCAATCTGGTTTGGAGTGAACTACTATCGGCTCGACTCGATTTGATATTTATTTGCCCCTCCCATGAGGGAAAGATGTGGTACAAGGCCGAGTTTTACGTGGGTTTTCCGAGCCTGTAGGCTCGGCCCAAAAATGCCCGTAGAAATTGTAAAAACAGAATCGGGTTGGTCAAGCTCCTCGAACGAGACTCTGCCCTTCGGCGGAGCCTCGTCCGGGTTCCTCTCTGCTCAGAAGCAGAGAGTTCGACCGTCAAGCCGAGAAACTCGAATCGATTCGGTATCTACCCCCCCACTAGGGTTGCATATGGCACAAGGCCGAGTTTAACGTGGGTTTTCCGAACCCGTAGGCTCGGCCAAAATATCCCCGTAGAACCCGTACAAATGGGATCGGGTTGGTCAACCTCCCCGAACAAGACTCTGCCCTTCGGCGGAGCCTCGTCCGAATTCCTCTCTGCTCAGAGGCAGAGAGTTCGACCATCAAGCCGAAAAGCTCGGCTTGATTCGGTATCTAGCCACCCCACCACGAGGGTTGCATGTGGCACGAGGCCATGTTTATCGTGGGTTTCCCGAACCCGTAGGCTCGGCCAAAAAATGCCCGTATAACCCGTATAAACGAGATCGGGTTGGTCATTCTCCCCGAACGAGACTCTGCCCTTCGGCGGAGCCTCGTCCGGGTTCCTCTCTGCTCAGAGGCAGAGAGTTCGACCGTCAAGTCGAGAAGCTCGGCTCGGCTCGATTCGACCCTCTCTATTGAGAGGTGTAGTATACATAGTGTTAGGAAGAGTTCATTCTGTAGTTATAGGACAATTATTATTATTATTAATATTTTATTTCCTTTGATTTCTGATGTATACCCATTTCTTTCAGGGTCCCGACCAGAGACCTAAGGTTAGAAAATGGCATCATGACAATTTCCACTGAGCAGTTTTGAAAAAAAAACAAAAAACAAAACATTCCCCCATATTTTACATACATAATGCCCTTCGTAAAGTGTGGGCTGTACATTTTTTTTTATCTCTTTAAGGTATAGACTATCAAGGATTTCTTCAAGAAGTCTATTAGAATCGTTTCCAATCAATCTGAGGGCTCCAACTACAACTGGAGTTATTAGGTTGGTGCAAAAATAATGACGTAATAATGTCGTTTTTTGACCTTAAAAAATACGTCAAAAAACGACATTATTACGTCATTATTTTTGCACCAACCTAATACCAATTTCCTATTAATATGCAAGATTTTTTAGATTTTCGTCCTTGTATTTTGATAGCTTTTTGAAGGTCTTCAAAGATACATTGCTGTCTGCAAGGAACGCCGTGTCAATAAGGAGGCACATTTTGTGCTTACAATCTCTAATCACGATGTCAGGGCGATTAGCTTTGATTGTTCTGCCTGTGTGCACTGTAAAAGATTGTTCTGTCTGTCTGTCTGTATGTATGTATGTATTATTATTATTTCCATTGATTTCTGTTGTATATACATTTCCTTCTGGGTCCCAACAAGAGACCTAAGTTGGAAAATAATTTCATGACATTTTCTCCTAATGATTTTAGTAAAAAAAAAAAAAATATCCTAAGAACACGCACATTTTACATAAAGTTCTTCGCAATATGTGAGCTGTTCTTATGAGTACAATTTTTGGCAATTCTTTAAGTCGTGTGGTACCAGGAATCTCTTTAATGATTTTACCGGACCCTTTTCCAATCAATCTGAGGGGGCCAGCTATAACTTCTGTTGTGAGTGTGAAAAAAAAAAAAACGATATATCAGTGAGGAAGGAAGAATGTAAGAAACACATATGAAAGAAAGAGAAAGAAAGAAAGAAAGAAAGCAAGAAAAAAGAAAGAAAGAAAGAAAGCAAAGAAAGAAAGAAAGAAAGAAAGAAAGAGAAAGAAAGAAAGCAAGAAAGAAAGAAAGAAAGAAAGAAAGAAAGAGAAAGAAAGAAAGAAAAAGAAAGAAAGAAAGAAAGAAAGAAAGAAAGAAAGAAAGAAAGAAAGAGAAAGAAAGAAAGAAAGAGAAAGAAAGAAAGAAAGAAAGAAAGCAAGAAAGAAAGAAAGAAAGAAAGAAAACATTGTGGAAAGGAAAGGCTAAGAAAAAGAGGTGAGGGTTTCAAAGAAAGAAAGAAAGAAAGAAAGAAAGAAAGAAAGAAAGAAAGAGACAGAGAAACAAAGGAAAACCAAACAAACACACAAAGAAAGAAAGAAACAGAAATGAAAGCAAGCAAGAAAGAAAGAAAGAAAGAATATGAAAGATGGAAGGAATAGAAAGAAGGAAGAAAGAAAGAAAGAAACAAACAAACAAACAAATAAAGAACGAAAAAAACAGAAATGAAAGAAAGAAAGAAACAGATAAGAAAGAAAGAAAGAAAGAAAGAAAGAAAGAAAGAAAGAAAGAAATAGACATGAAAGATGAATGTGTTGAAAGAAAGAAAGAAAGAGATAAGAAAGAAAGAAAGAAAGAAAGAAAGTATTAAGGGGTCCACCCCTTTTTCATACAAGTGGACTCGACCAGTGTGTACTTGAACTGCTGCCGGTGAATACCCAGAGAGCAGAGAGATAGAGTGAGTAAGAGAGAGATACACTGATACAGTGAGAGAGTGAGGTAACCGCTTTGTAGGAGTCACAGTTGCGAGCACGTAGACTCAGAAGGAAGTCATACTTCGATACTGAATTTCCCAGACTGTATATATATTATTATTGCTACTAACCGCATTTCTGGATCTACTAACCGTATTACCAATTGTATTATTACGTCACTACATTTATTTGTTATATTTCATTCCTGCGTTTGTCATTCATTTGAGACTCGATTTCATCCCGGAAGTCACAACAGAAAGAAAGAAAGAAAGAAAGAAAGAAAGAAAGAAAGAAAGAAAGAAAGAAAAACAAACATAGAACGAAAGAAACAGAAATGAAAGAAAAAAAGAAAGAAAGAAATAGACATGAAAGAAAGAAAGAAAGAAAAAAGAAAGAAAAACAAACAAAGAACGAAAGAAACAGAAATGAAAGAAAGAAAGAACGAAAGAAAGAAATAGATATGAAAGAAAGAAAGAAAGAAAGAAAAACAAACAAAGAACGAAAGAAACAGAAATGAAAGAAAGAAAGAAAGAAAGAAATAGATATGAAAGAAAGAAAGAAAGAAAGAAAGAAAGAAAGAAAAACAAACAAAGAACGAAAGAAACAGAAATGAAAGAAAGAAAGAAAGAAATAGATATGAAAGAAAGAAAGAAAGAAAGAAAGAAAAACAAAGAACGAAAGAAACAGAAATGAAAGAAAGAAAGAAAGAAAGAAAGAAATAGATTTGAAAGAAAGAAAGAAAGAAAGAAAGAAAGAAAAACAAACAAAGAACGAAAGAAACAGAAATGAAAGAAAGAAAAAAAGAAAGAAATAGACATGAAAAATGAAAGAAAGAAAGAAAGAAAGAAAGAAAGAAAGAAAGAAAGAATATGCAAGATGGAAAGAAACAAACAGAGAACGGAAGAAAAAGAAAGAAAGAAAGAAAGAAAGAAAGAAAGAGGAAGCGATTACGTTATCAGGTGCTTCAGTGAAATGTCAATTTTTAGTCTGACCTCTTTAAATAACGCCCTACATTCTAACACTTGATTGTTACAGCAAACATTTTGTTAACGTTTACCATAATTGATTTTCTACGGATATTCTATAATCGTGAAAGCCGAAATTTTCTTTCAGTCATTAGACTGAGAATTATGACTCAACAGAAATTTCAAAACGTAAGAAAATCTTCATGGATACTTCAAGCACCAGTAATTCGAATTGTTATTTACATGCTAGTCATCAAAGCATTTGTCATTCCCTGCTCGACTGCCTTCAACTTGATCATGATTTTCTGTTCTTAGCGTTTAATCACCCGGAAAATGAGGCGTGCCTTATGGTAGAATAAAAATTAGTATATATATATATATATATATATATATATATATATATATATATATATATGTCTGACGATCGCAAAAGCGTAAAACCCAGGGTTACAAACTCACATCAATCCAACCAAATATGTTAGCTCTATCTCTGATATTGAGCGCTTTCTTATAAGTACCGCGCATATATATATATATATATATATATATATATATATATATATATATATATATATATATATATATTTCTAATGCTCTAGAATGAGCGACTTGGTGAGAGTAGTCGTGGCTCAGGGGGGCACAGTCCTATGGTTACAGAGAACTCAGTAAGAGTTCCACCACGGAATATATAAACTGCGCTATATTGAGTCTGATTTGCGGCCCTTTTCCACCAAAGGTTGGAACAGTTGGTATGACGTTTGCTTGATAACCTCCCTGTCCGGGTTTCAATTCTCGGTAGTGGATGCGCGCTGCTGATGAGTCCCAAATATAGGACTAAACGGCCGTCCAGTGCTTTCTGTTGAGGTTTCTTTCAGACCCGATGAATTAATTAAAATATATTTATATACGCACACACTTTTCACATATATATATATATATGTATGCACACACAAACATAAACAGTAAGATTTATAATCCGGTGTTTTTATTTAAAAAAAAAACAGTGCTCATTACAATTCTGCAGAGCATAAATATTATAAATTTACTAATTTAAAAATATGATTCCATCGCTACACAGGAATTACCATGTTTCAAAAACAGTTCAAATTTAATTATAGAATTAATTTAAAACTCTTAGTACTGTTTCATTTTCAAGCGAATTTTGCAATGATTTTGAAATTTACTCAGTTTTATAAGCATATACATTCCTAATATAAGTTTCTAAGGATACGGGGAAATTCAATCATTTTGACAAGGGGTGGTACGGTATTCATTTTCACTGACAACTATTGTATCAAAATATGAGTTACTTTCGAAATGTGCTTAAGGTACGGTAGGGGTGCCTGTTCAAAAAATGATGACATCCGCATTTCGCATGTCGTCTGGTTTTTTTCAATGACAAAAAAGTTTTTCGGCACTTTTTTTTATATATATTTGTGTATTTAGGTAGCAAACCTTCTTTCATTCATATTTCATTAAATGCGACAGACAAGATGTTTTGATTTAGTTTTTTATACAATTTCTCAGATAATAAATAATATAAAAACTCTCCTAATGTTCTTTTCATCCGAGCGCTTTCGGCTATACATTTAGTAATTTTCAATGATGAAATATTTTTACTGTTCAATAAGAAATAGTTTGTTGCATCTATATATTTATATAATGTCTTCATTTAAGGAAAAACACAGTCCATGTTCATAGGTGATATTATTGAGTGTTTTCCTTTTTGTCTTTATTAATAATACCTCAACCTTGAAAATGGCTAAATGTATAGCCGAAAGCGGTTGGAACATTCAGACAGTTTTTATATAATTTATCATCAGAAAAAAAAAATATTAGATCAAATCAGAAATTATATAAAAAACTAAATCAAAGCATCTTGTCTGTCGTTTCTAATATATATATATATATATATATTTAGTTTATGAAAAACTAGGTAATCCGAATGGGTAAACCCAAAGAGGATAAAATCCAGAGAGATCAATGTAAATCCAGAGCAAATAATTTAAATAAAAAACAGACAACTTTAAAGTTCCATGTAATAAATTATTTCACCACAGCCCTTTTAAAAGGACTGTGGATCATCAGACTTTTCCAAACTCTTTTTTTATATATATATATATAAATATATATATATATATATATATATATATATATATATAATTACAAAACAGATTTTTTTAAGGTTCCATGTAATAAATTATTTCACCACAGCCCTTTTACTACGGATCATCAGACTTTACTTCCAAAGGTTGAAATGAAAAATGAAAATAAATTTGTCATGTCTTCTCTCTCCCTCCTCACTTCCTCAATTCGTTAATTTACATATGCTTAATACGGCCCGTCAAAAATGTGTAAATTTCTTTTCATTTTCAATTTCAACCTTTGGAAGTAAAGTCTGATGATCCGCAGTCCTTTTAAAAGGGCTGTAGTGAAATAATTTATTACATGGTGGTCTGTTTTTATTTAAATATATATATATATATATATATATATATATATATATATATATATTGTTGAAATTTTGACTAATGCATGGAATAATAATGCGGGTAAAAATGTATTTTTAGAACAAAATGTATTGAATCAAGAAAGTGTACACAATATTTACATATAGTCTTTTGTATATTCCTGGTAAGACCGTTCCTGGAGAATGTGTTGACTGAGTCGTTTCGGGCAGAGTGTCTGGTTGAATCTCTTGATTCCTCCTCTCTTCCCGGTACCAACCATATTTATATGGTCGGTACTCCACTATGCAAATTTTGGATCCTACACAAACATATATATATATATATATATATATATAATATAACATAGCATAAAACTATGATAAATGGCCGGATAAATTACCGTACAAAAAACGGGCGTATAAAAAAAGTGCTCAATGCACCAGCTTGAGAAAAACAGACGTGAATCTGAACACAAACGAACAAAAAATAGTGACAGAAATACATTATGTAATTGCAGGATTTGAAATTAATTGCCCTTTGAACGGGGCGTGCTGTAGAGAAGGTATGGTCTTACCAAATTGAAGCTAATGACGACTGTGGATAAAGGAAAGTCAACATAGGATGTGCCGAGGGCCCGTTTAAAAAACACTGGTCTAACCATACTTCCTCTTTTAGGTTGGAAAACGAAGGTACGACAGAAAACTGGCGAAACACGACTGTAAATGGAAGGAAGAACACGGTAAAAGTCCGTGCATGAAGAGAAGGATTCGAAGAACAAAGTCTGGCAAAAGAAGGGATAACTCTTAAAAGTTCTGTCAGGAGGAGAAGTTGGCGATAGCCACGTATAAAGACAGCGCGGTGTTGTTGAATGTGAGAATAGAAATGATGTCTAAATGTAGACAGGTAAGAAGGAATGTTCTCAGTGTGTAATACTCCGCGTGAAGAAAGATAAGTTTTTTCGGTCACACTTCCTCTCCTTCTTGACTTCCGGTCTCGTAGCATTCTGGGTTGACGAACACATGTTTCCCAGCATCCTGGTGGTTGAAACTAGGATAGTATCCGGTGTTTTACTGCTTTACATATATATATATATATATATATATATATATATATATATATTCATGAATTATTCATACAAAAAACAAATACAAAGGTTAATGATTTAATTGGCGAGAAATCCATCGTCGCGAACAATTCAAATAATATACAAAAAGCCCCTGAACCTGTTATGAATGAAAAGATCCTTGTTTTATAAATTTTCTGTTGCATTAGTTCTTATTTTTACTACAAGCTTTCGTCTGTTCCTACAGACATCTTCTAAGGTATGGAATAGATGTTGTTCTTGTTTTTACTCTCAGTAATAAAGAGGACAACGAAAATATATGTATTGTTGTATCCGAAAAATGCTATTAGAAATGAGTTATTGTTTTTGGGTGTGCAGTAGCAACGCTGAGTTTGATTTTAAATTTTTACAGTTGTGCGTTCTTCTACAAATATGGTGATAAGCGAATTCTTTTTTACTGGTAAATTTTCTGTCAAAAGTGGCATGGACTATATTGTTCAATAATTACAGTAATAAAAAATCTTATTATCCAAAAGTTGCACTTGGATCAGTCATTTTTAATTTCAATAAAGGTTAATTAATTTACAAATTGATGAATTATTATATATATTATATATTATTATATATATATATATATATATATATATATATATATATATATATATATATATATATAAAAAGCTTAAACACCAATATTCCATGGTCATAATTTATTCCATTGGAATGGTAAATACGATCCAATTCCACAGACCTACAAATTGAAAAAAGAAAACAGAAAAACAACTCCGAAACAAAAATAAAATTTAGAGAGTGTAAGCATGAGAGTGGGACGAATGTTAGAGCTATAGAGATGGGTAGCAGATGAGAGAAGGTGGGAGATTAAAAATTTAACAGAGAGTTTTTAGAGAGGAGAGTCAAAGATTTTTAAGAGAGAGAAATATGAAATGAAGAAATAAAATCTCTCTCTCTCTCTCTCTCTATATATATATATATATATATATATATATATATATATATATATATGGAGAAATATAGTGTTAAGATAATGCTATATTTATGGGATAAATCTCAATAACAGAGATAGAGCTCTTGCAAAAAATATAAAAGTGAACATAAAAAAAATCAACACTTAGATTCGTCAGTCTGTTTCATGCTAGATGCAATCGTCACCCCACGAGTGGTGTTATATATATATATATATAATTGAATCTAGGCAGCAAATTCTCTATTAGGAATGTGTGCTTGAATAAATTAAAAACATTATGCCTGCTTATTTATATCATAAACCTTTCATATTCACGAATATTTTCCGTGTCTTACAATTGAATTTTATTTTTTCTTGCCTCATTCAATTGTAATATACGGAAAAATATTCATCATTAAGAAAGGATTATAATAAAAATAAGCTGACGTAATATTTGCAATTTATTCAATATACCCCATACACACACACACACATATATATATATATATATATATATATAGAGAGAGAGAGAGAGAGAGTGAGAAAGAGAAAATAGGCTTTTTATTAATCCAATATATATATTTTAGTGGACACTCGTATTTTTCTGCGTTTATGTTTTTTTAATCACATTCACACTCACATACACACACACCACAACTCACGCACATACACACACACACACACAAACACACATATATATATATATATATATATATCTACACACACACACACACACACACACATATATATATATATATGTATATATGTATATATATGTATACACACACACATATATATATATCTACACACACACACATATATATATATGTATACAAACACACACACAGATATATATATATAAAATCTATACACACACACACACATATATATATATATATATATGTATACACACACATACATACGTATATATATATATATATATATATATATATATATATATATATATATATATATAAAAGTTTAATGGATAGTGTTGAATTAGACCAGGAAACACTAGTATGAAAATGTGCTCAATAAATAAATAACATGTAGAGCTTTTAACTTTAAAAATTAGAAGATCAGATGCATTCGCTATCTTGCTTCCAATCTTATGGTACCCTCAAGGGATTTTTATCAATTGACCTCCCAAACTCTTTATACAGAGAAATCATAATTAACTCCTAATTAACTTATAATTGGTACAATAATAGTTAATAAAAATGAACACGCTGCCGTCCCTGTCTAAATGATTGGATTTCTCTGTATCCTTAGAAACAAACAATTATGAATGTATGTGCTTTTAAAACTCAGTAAATTTCAGAATAAGTTATTCCAAAATTCGCTTGAAGATGAAACAGGACTAATGCTTTTAATTTAATTATATAATGAAAAGTTGATATTTATTTAGCTTCGGTTTTTGAAACATGATAATATATGTATATGAAGGAACCATTTTTAAATATATTAATTTATAATATTTATGCTCTGTAAATTTACATTGAGCATACTATTTTGTAAAAATAAAAATTCAATAAGAATACCGGATTATATATCTTATATCTTTTTTTACTATATATATATATATATATATATATATATTATATATATATATATATATATATATATATATATATATATGCAGGGTTGTTTTTTGCTATATGTGTCATGACGTATATTCTATATATTTATCTGGTTTCTGGTTTCTTTTTTCTGCTTAATCACTTTTATCTCTTTCCTTTCTTTCTCTTTGTGGCTCCACTTTCTCTCTCTTCCTATCTGTCGCTCCTAGTCTCTCTTTCTCTCTCTCCCTTCTCTACCTCTGCATCACCCGCATGCTCTCTTTCACCCTCTTTTCCTTCTCTATCACTTTTTTTTTCAATCGGTATATCACTTTCTCCTCCCTCTGGATTTTGTTCTTACTTTCTCTGTCCCTCTCACTCCTATTCTTTACATTTTTACTCCCTCGCTTCTCTTACTCATCCCGCCACTCTCACTCTCAATCCTTTTCCATCGTTCGTTCTTTCTTTCTTTTTCTATTCTAACCCTTCTGTTTACTTTCTTTATTCTGACATTTTTTTCCCTAATTTTGCCATCAGACGTCATATTATGGCAATCAATGACAATAATTTCTTAGTCAGCCACCAGTCAGTCAGCCTCGTTGCCGTCTTCGTTCCCGCCACCTTTCCTTCGTCAGCCTCGTTTTCGTCTATTATTCATGTTGTCATTCATTCAATGGTTGATTCGTTTACCTCATTATTTTCAAGTTTTCTTTTTCTTGTATATTTTTTTTTAACTGCGCGTGTGTATGCGTCGCAGTATGTCGATAAAATATCCTGTGAGATTATATGCATTTTCCTGAAAAACTATCGGCGAACATATATATATATATATATATATATATATATATATATATATATATATATATATATATATATATGTGTGTGTTGCCTGAAATTTAAAGTTTAAAAAATTCTACACAAATAAATACTGACTCCGTTCCACTCGTGATTTTCACATAAAAATTCTCCAGCACTCAATAAACATGGACGCGTATAGAAGCGCGAATGTGTGCGCATGCGTATAGATGCATACATGGTGGCGTATCGGTGCCTGCGTGCGCGTACACAGAAAAAACAGATGCCTGCAAAAAATAGCGGTGCGTGTGCATACGCATTCAAATATTTCCAGTGAATTAAACCCAGAACTAAATATGAACAACCACACATAGCATCGCCTGCTTCGGCGTGTACGCGTACAGCAAACACAGAGAGATGTGTGGGTGCAAATGTAAAATGTTACTCAAATTTCCTAAATACATGTCGTCTCAAAATTGATTCACTATGAACATATAAACCAGTTTTAAGCAATATTATTATATCAACGTTTACTTCCTTTTCTTCTCCCCAATAAAAGTGGCCAGAAACGTTTCGTTTTTCGAGTGTGTTTTTCGTATTTGCTGTCGTGTCTGAGTGTGTATTTATGGAGCATGTTGCTCAACTTTCTCGAGAGCCTGTACTTTAGAATGCTGCATAAGTTTTCTATGGGGTTGAGGTCAGGAGATTGGGGCGGCCATGTCATAACACTCACCTGCTTCTCATCAAAGTATTCCTTCATCAATTTTGATTTGTGACAGGGAACATTATCCTGCATAAAAATGAGTTTGGTGGGGTCGATTTGCACCCTTTCAGCAGAAGGGAGCAAACAAGACTCTAAAATTCCCTTGTACAGCTCGCTCCTGAGGGTCTTTTCAATGGGTTTTAAGAAACCAGTTCCATGAAAAGAAAAGCATCCCCAGAATATTATACTGAACGGATGCTTGACAATACTTACTGCTAAATTCAAAGAGCTTTCAAAGCTTCTTCTTCGGATTTTAGATCGCTTATCCTTTGAATTTAGCTCAACTTTTGCTTCATCCGAGAAGAGAACATTTAGCAAAAAAAAAAAATCAGGTGAGTCACTTTTATCGAACAGCACTATATATATATATATATATATATATATATATATATATATATATATATGCCGAGTATAAGAAAAATGTCTATATATATATATATATATATATATATATATATATATATATAACTGAGTATAAGGGTAAAAATGTCCATATATATATATATATATATATATATATATATATATATATATCTGATCGTAGAAGAACGAACAAGACCTCTAGAATACCTTTTATGAAAATTTCCAAAGGACGGAAGTGGGGTGATATTTGCTTCGATAACTGTATTTCTGAATAAAAGTATTTAGTAACATCGTGATTCCCCACCTGATGAGACCTTTTAAAATGGTTTTCCTTTTTGATGTTGAAAATGTACAATTTTGTAGTGGATATGTGCATGTTCTATTGCAACACTGCTTAAGAAATTAATATATATATATATATATATATATATATATATATATATATATAAATTCCATCCCACAAAATGTTTAATATCTAAAAAAAAAAAACACAACTAATTGAGTTTCTTTTTCCAGGTTTTCAGATAAGACATTTATTCATCTTGACAATATATTGTAATAATTGCTGAAAAAAAATTTGAGTTATTCAGCTAGAATATGACAGGTTAATATATAAACATACATACATATGCAAGATGGAAGGAATAGAAAGAAGAAAGAAAGAAAGAAAGAAAGAATATGCAAGATGGAAAGAAAGAAAGAAACAAACAGAGAAAGAAAGAAAGAAATAGACATAAAAGGTGAAGGTAAAGAAAGAAAGAAAGAAAGAAAGAAAGAATATGCAAGATGGAAAGAAAGAAAGAAACAAACAGAGAAAGAAAGAAAGAAATAGACATAAAAAGGTGAAGGTAAAAAAGAAAGAAAGAAAGAAAGAAAAATATGCAAAAAGAAAGAAAGAATATGCAAGATGGAAAGAAGAAAGAAAGAAAGAAAAACAAAGAGAAAAGAAAGAAAGAAAAATAGACAAAAGAAAAGGTGAAGGTAAAGAAAGAAAGAAAGAAAGAAAGAAAGAAAGAAAGAATATGCAAGATGGAAAGAAAGAAACAAACAGATATCGAAAGAAAAAGAAAGAAAGAAAGAAAGAAAGAAAAGAAAGAAAAAACAAAGAAACGAAAAGAAACAGAAATGAAAAGAAAAAAAAGAAAAAAAACAAAAACGAAAAGAAATGAAAGAAAGAAAGAAAAAGAACGAAAGAAACAGAAATGAAAGAAAGAAAGAAAGAAAGAATATGCAAGATGGAAAGAAAGAAAGAAACAAACAAACAGAGAACGAAAGAAAAAGAAAGAAAGAAAGAAAGAAAGAAGGAAGGAAGGAAAGAGGAAACCATTACATTATCAGGTGCTTCAGTAAAATGTCAATTTTTACTCTTTTCATTTCTATCCTCTTACTTCTTGAAATAGCGCCCTACATTCTAACACTTGATTGTTACAGCAAACATTTTGTTAACGTTCACCATAAGTGAATTTCTACGGATATTTTATAATTCTGAAAGTCGAAATTCTCTTTTAATCATTAGACTGAGAATTATGACTCAAGAGAAATTTCAAAACATAGGGAAACTGCGAAATCTTCATGGATACTTCAAGCACCAGTAATTCGAATTGTTATTTACATGCTAGTCATCAAATCATTTGTCATTTCCTGCTCGACTGCTTTCATTTTGATCATGCTTTTCTGTTCTTAACGTTCAATCACCCGGAAAATGAGGCGTTCCTTATGGTAGAATATAATATATATATATATATATATATATATATATATATATATATATATATATATATATATACACCTAGTAGAACAAACCTACCTAGGTTTTCACCTGAACGGATCGTCAGGGAAAGTTTGGTTTCCCTGACGATCCGTTTAGGTGAAAACCTAGGTAGGTTTGTCTGGCTCACTAGGTGTATCTAGGTCTGCTCTACGGTTATATTGAGCTCTTTTTGTTAGTTAGTTGTTTACTCGTATCGGGGTTTTTTCTTTGGGCTTCAGACCTGCATCTGTGCGTTTTTTTGTCGGCAGAAGTCCATGTTTGTAGCTCTTTTCTTTTTAAAACCTTTTTTTCCTCGAGATTGATTTGATTAGCAAATAAAAAATTCGACGTTTTTTCGAAACGAGTCTAGTTATCTATATTTATATTTATATTATATATATATATATATATATATATATATATATATATATATATATATATATATATAAATAAAAAAAGAAAGAACAGTAAGATTTATAATCTGGTGTTCTTATAATTATTTTATATTTAAAAAATAGTGCTCAATACAATTCTGAAGAGCATAAATATTATAAATTTATTAATAGAAAAGTATTGTGCTATCGCTACACAGGAATTACCATGTTTCAAATACAGAAACTATAAACTAAAAACAATCGAATTTTGGAATTCCAATTCTAATTTTGCATTCCAAAATTTGTTTGAAAATGAAACAGTACTAGGGATTTTAATTTAATTCTATACTTAAATTCGAAGTTTCTAGTCTCTGTTTTTGAAGCATGGTCATTCCTGTGTAGTGATGGAACCATATTTTTAAATTAGTAAATTCATTATATATATATATATATATATATATATATATATATATATATATATATGAATAAAAAGAGGAAAAACTATTCTTAGCCAACGCGTTTCCTCCTGTGAGGGACTTTATCCATACAAATGTAAGGATTTATTTTGTTGCACGTGTTTATATACAAGAGCAAGGATGTCATTCTTTTATCAAGGCTTTTGATTTTGGGGACGTTTATGAATATTCATCAGGTGGTTGGAACATCAGTCAAAACATATTTACGCGGCCTTGCGGTTGATGGATTATTTTCCTCCGTACAACCCCCATCTACAGATAAAACGTTGCTAGACTCTTGTTTTTCTATCGACGTTCTATTCTGTTTCATTATCAATGTGAGACGTTCAGACTCATTTGCGGCATCCCAAACTTGCGGCAACGTCTTTTATGAAAAAGGATTTATCTCTTAGTTTTAATTCCTGGTTGTTGAAACCAAAGGAAGAACAATAGAATAATCACACGAAAGTTGGTAATGAACGATAATACTAGGAAAAAGAACAACACATATAAGATTCGCCAGCGGCGCGTAGAAGTATTCAACTGCTAGAAGTGAGTGAAGTGTATCCCACAATTCAACAGAACTAAAAATTCAAAAAGATTTTCCGATTTCTTTTTGAATTTGTAGGTCTGATGATTTGGATCGTGATTACGATTCCAATGTCATAAATTATAACCATGGAATATTAGTGTTTGAGCCTTTTATATTATATTCTTACTCTGTCCGGGACATTGAGTTTTATCTAGATTCTATCCTCTTGGGAATATATATATATATATATATATATATATATATATATAATATATATATAAGTAAACAACACTTAGAGGCGACAGTCTGTTTTCATACTACATGCAATCGTCAGGCCACGAGTGTTGTTAGGAGAAAAATAACAGCATTCATGGCCTGACGATTGCATCTAGCATTAAACAGCCTGTCGCCTCTAAGTGTTGACTTTATGTTCTTTTATATTTACACACGCCCTATCTCTGATATTGAGCACTTTATCCCATAAATATAGCACATCTTAAGACTATATTTCTTCATATATATATCTATATATATATATATATATATATATATATATATATATATATATATATATGTATATATTGTTACCGAAAGTTTCTTTTACAGACACCGACGAATAAACACGTCCAACATATAAACATATATTTATGCCCTTCTGAGATTAAAGGATCAAAATGTAAACTTATACGCCTGGTAAAAGTGTTAGCTACTGCTTGGGTTTTACCATAGTGCCCTAGTTTCTTAGTTACTATATTAAAAACAAATAAAAAATTTGTCTGAAAATGAGTTTTTCCCTAAAATAATTGGCTGTGAAGGGGTTAAGCAAAGATTAAAGAAATCCTCGAAACGAAAACTACCCACGTTATCACAAACAAGATAAACAGTATATGGACTTTATTTATGTGTTTTGGATACACCTTTGGCTGATAAATAAATGTAATTTAGTAACCCCCACAAACCTCAGATATTTACCAACCGATGTCTCAGGAACATCCTCAGTATCAGGTGGCCGGAAGTCGTCTCCAACGTCAAACTGTGGGACAGGACCTGACAAACCCCAGTCGAGATTCACATCAAGAAACGGAAATGGGTATTGTTGAGATGTTGAGTGTTTCCCCGTGCGTGTATTGAAATAAGGACAAACACATACGTAGGGAAAAATACTGGTATATCTGAAGAGGTATTTACAACAGAGAGATTAGTAGTCAAACGAACGCAGGTTAGTCAGTAACAATCAGAAAGAGTATAAAGTCCAGCTGTATGTTCCGGTAGAGAGACAGAAGTGGGATGGTCACCTGATCTTCCCAGAACTCTCCAATTAGTAGTAGAGAGATCAGTCCATTCTGATGAGAAGGTGGATGTCCCCAACAGGTATGAATCGACCACGCCCAAGCCTGCTTCTAGTGTCACCAGGCAGGCCCTTGACTGGAATCCACAGAGGAAGCGAAAACTGGGTCGTCCAAAACAGACTTGGCGCAGAAGTGTTGACGCAGAGGTGAAGGCAGCCGGCACGACATGGGCCGAGCCGAAGAAGAACGACCGAAACCGTTTCCGATGGAGAAGTGTTGTTGCGACCCCATGTACCCCAAGCAATCAAGAGGTATAAGAAATGATAGATTCATATTCAAAGTCGTCTTCGGGGTAGATTCTTAATCAGGGTGGCGTAACATTTTCATACGAAAACAAAACCTGCGATCCGTGTTCGAATTCCTGCTGACATTGTACCCATATCCTCTTGTTAAACAATTATTTTGTGATGTCAACGAATACTCGTTGTCACTTCCGTAATGCTCGTTGTAGCAGAGCCTTTGTAATCACAGATACAAGTATACAAACGCCGTTGGACACTGGTGCCAGACGCCTTCGAATAGCACTCGCATTAATAGTACATGTGTTGGAATTTTTGGGTACCCTGGTGTACTAGTGAGCCAGCCAAAATAAGCTGACTCATTTTATAGTTCACCAATAGAAGGATTAACCAATCAGAAGTCTCAAAATATTCAATGCGACGTGTATAAAGGCGTTCATGTTTTTCCCGAATATTCACTGCCAGCCTTTGATAACCCGGACAAGGCTCCGCCGAAGGGCAGACTCTCGTTCGAGGAGGTTGACTGCCTCCTGAACCCGTTTATACGCGTTCGAATAGAGAATATTTTTGACCAAGCCTATGGACTCGGAGATTCCAGGGTAATCACGGCCATTTGTCACATGTAACCCTCTGGGCGTGTGGCTAATTATCCCTGGCAGCCTTTGATATCGAACACTGAACAATTACGGAACAGCTGCTGGTGGTATTGGCGATATAGTCAGATTCAGTAGAGTGTCTGACTCGTGAGTGTTAATCTTTAATGTTGTTTCATTGAACAGATTACGTACTGCGCTGTAGTTTATATTTAAAGACTATGGTGAACATGGTCAACAGAGGTTATGAGCCCAGCAGGCTTCCACTGCGCTGTATTCTATATTCATAGACTATTGTGAACATGGTCAACAACTTGCTCGACAATACTCGCTCGAGAAGTAACCTGTATAGGGATCTGAATAGAGAAATAGTATAGTAAATAGAGTAGACAATACTCATAGAGGATAGACTAGAGTTAGAGATCACTAGTCGTCAACTACTTCCTAGATATGTGTGCTTTCATTATGGTCATGTGGTCTACCTTATTCACTAATGGGATCGCCTGTGTTTATATTGAATATATTCAAACTGAAGTGTCGGCAGTGACACTTTATTCCAATATACAACAAAATTAATGGCAGTGGATTTTTTTTTTTGGCGACGCGTTTCGTTATTTAGAACTTCACCGAACTAAAGCGATACAACAAAACATGGTTGAGTGGCGTTGAAATTTTAAATTTGTTTTTTTAATATAATCTGTTTGAATATATAGTCTAGCCAATCTCATTTAGTATCTTTTACTTTGCATTAATATTTTATGTCTTTCTTTTTATGTGTCGTGTCCGTTCAGGACGTAGGCGATCATGGCCCTCCACTTCCCCCCTATCTCTTGTACGTCACAATAATTTTTATTCCTTTGCTGCTTCCCCCAGTGCATGTTCTGTAATCGACTTGCTTAAGCCCGCCAGGCTTGTCATGCATTGCTTTCCAATGTCTCTTATTCCCTCTATTCGACCTGTGAGTATCAGATTCTCCAAACCCTCCTTTCTTATTATATGTCCCAGAAATTGCAGCTGCCTCTTCCTGATGTTAAGTATAAGCCTCATTTTTGTTTCCATCCTAAGTCCTCATCGTTGCTCACACGCTCGGTCCATGATATCCTTAGCATCCTTCTGTAGAACCACATCTCCGTCGCTTCGAGTCTCTTCTTCATCTTTGAGGAGACCGTCCAACAGTCGCTGTCGTATAGGAGGACAGATGTCACGTAACAGGTCAGTACTCTTTTCTTTGTTAACAAAGAAATCCTCCTGTCTCCCAGTCCTCTGCCCACGTTTTCGAATGTGCATTTGGCCATCCCAATACGTTTTCGGATCTCAGTGTCGCACTTACTGTCCTCTGTCAGAACACTTCCCAGATATTTAAATTTCCGCACATGTTTGATTATAGTGTCCCTAAACTGTAAATCACATTTCGGGCTCATCCTTTTACTGATGACCATGCATTCTGTCTTCTTGTTGTTTGTGCTTAGTCCCTTCTTCTCACTCTCCGTCGCTACCTTCTGTACGAGGTTTTGTAATTTCTTTTCCGTATCTGCTATCAGTACTGAGTCATCTGCATATCTTATGCTGGTAAGATTGTGGCCGCCAATGATGACTCCCGTAGGGTTTTTAATTCTCTCAAAATTGCCTTTTCACTGTAGTTATTAATTATTCCACATTATGATAAAAGAGGTTCTGTCACGAAAGATGAAATATTGTAAAAACCTCGAAACTGAAGATGATCTAGCAATCAAAGCACTTTCTATAGATTTTCGGATATATATATATATATATATAGTTAAGTTACGAAGAACTTGGTAAACCGAATGGGTAATTCCAAGAAGGATGAAATCCTGAGAACTCAATGTGAATCCAGAGCTAAAATTTAATGAAAAAACAGACCACTTTAAGGTACCATTACAATAATTTATTTCACCAAAATCCTTTTTGAAGGACTCCGGATCATCAGGTAAAACACTTCCAACAATATTTCGTTGTTATAGAGATAGGGACTTGAATTAGAACTCGGCCCTTCTTTTTTCCAATTTCGATCCTTAGTCCATTACACCATCCACACATCCATGTTTATAGCATTTGGTATTCCCAATCGCTCAACCATCTAGGTACTGACCAAGCTTGTCGTTGCTTAACTTCCGTGATCGTACAGTTGATTAATTTGTCTGTTTAACGGCATATCACCTCCTTATGGGTAATTTAACGCCAACATTTAATTTGCTTGTATCTTGGAAGTCATAAAAATATGATATATGTTATTCTGCTTTCGCAGTCGAGTACATGGTAGATGATACTCAGCTTTTGTGTATCTATATGTTTGTGTGGACATAAGGTGGTGATATGTATGTTTTATATTGTAATTTTGCCGGAGTTTTATTTTGGGATACAGTTTGATTTCTTTAAATTATTGTAGGATATTATATGGATTAATGTCATGAATGAAGACTTGTTTGGTAGTATTTTAAAAAGATTTGCCTGAAGTTGTTGCAATTTGTTAAGAGATTATTGGTCATTTTTTTATATATATAAATCTATTTTTTGGTATTTTTACTTTAGACATGTATTTTATACTTCCATAGTATTTCGTTTTTGCTAGGGGCTTCCCTTTTTCGGCCAAAGTTGGGACCCTAACAGGTGCTACCAAACCTGGGTCAGGGTGGACCTAGGAACAAGAAGGATCGCACGGGCACGGCGTTTCAACATATTGCCGTAAACTACTGTTATGAGACATTCCCAGATCGGGTTCGATTTTTTTGACGAGGTTTGATTGTGCATATACACTATTAATCCCTTTAAAAGGCATGAAATTAATTTTCCTTGCGCAAATATCTCGCCATTTGTGTAACAAAAGGAGTTAAATGTTTCACTAAAGAAATGCGCTATCCTAGACCTTTCCAAAAATTGTTAGTCCCATAAGTACCCTGGAATCTCTTTGATGGTTCCAAATCAATAGGAATGTAGATTTATTGCAAATTGAATTACCATTGTGGCGTGAGACCGAACGGAAAGTGATGTGTGGCTGGTCTACACCCTGAACTAAGCGAATTCGTTTCCAACACTCATTCATCCATTTCAATTTGCTCATTCGCCAAAAGAATTTATCCATTGCCATTCAATCCACCCCAACACACTCTCAGGAAACCTACAAATACACCCAGGCCATAAATGTTTCATGGTATAACAACTGTTCCTTTTTTTTTAGTTTTTATCATTTTCTTATAAAATTTTAATTCTATTCAAAGGGAGGGAGAAGTGGAAAACCCGCAAACGAAACTAAAATATAACAAAACATTCAAACAAAAAATAAAATATGTTAGTAGGACCTGTCCATCCCACAAACATAAGAGCGGCCGCTGTATTCCGCCAAGAAGCAGAATCAAGAAGCTCTCTCAATAGATTAGAAGGAAGGACCCAAATAAATTACGGAGTAGAGAAAATATCAATGGCCCATCCAGTCGACATGAAAAGGGGACAAAAACAAATTTGGGAGGTTTCTAATCTTGAAATTGACTATAACAAAAGAAAATGCTGGGTGCAAACTGAGAACAACAATTACGACGTAAACAAATTGTTCTGATGCTTTTTCCTCGTTAGTATCCCGTTATGATAGGTAAACAAATAAAGTGTAGCTTAACAAAGGGTGGGTTCTGTCAGGAAACCGAACCCTTGCGTCAAAAGGCAACTTTAAAAAAAAAAAACAACAAAAAACAAGGCTGTTCCGGGTTCACACGAACCAAGCTCGCCACTTGCACCCACCGCAATCTGCCGATAACAAACGCTTTCTGTGAGAATCTGAACGTCATTTTGGCATAACACTCAAAGTATCCCACCAGATCCTGATGCGAATAACGTTCGTATCGTAAAATCCCCTCCATCCAAGACGTCCGACCACCATTCTTGTCACGGCCAGCAACCTGAGAAACCACCATTCATCTCACACCAGAACACGGGGGCAACACATTATCGCACGCGTATGCGAGATCGATGAACACGAGATGTTTGGTATCGATCTAACACTTTCGCCCCAGTTCATCAACCTCCGACGTCTTACTCTCTGGGTTGAGGTGTCTACTCGGTCCTAACCGAACTTAAGGGAGTGGCCGTAGGTCTCCTGAGCATCCGTAGATTATTCGACCGGTCCGCTGGTTTAATCCTGCTTCTTGCCCACGTTGTGTTTGGTTTGATCCAGAAAGCAGAAGTGATGTTCATCCATTCACGGTCGACTGAAGATGTAGACACGACTGGAGAGTCTGCGCTAAGAAATTTAGAATGCAGCAAAAAAAAAAAAATATCTGCAGAAAGCTGGACAAACAAGTATTCAACGATTGAATTGTTAATGTCTTTTATATAGAAAAAAAGAGAGAGGTGGGGAGAAATAATAAAAAGAGAGAAATAAAGAAAAGAGAGAGAGAGAGAGGGAGAAATAATAAAAAGAGAGAAATAAAGAAAAGAGAGAGAGGGAGAGAGGGAGAAATAATAAAAAGAGAGAAATAAAGAAAAGAGAGAGAGAGGGGGAGAAATAATAAAAAGAGAGAAATAAAGAAAAGAGAGAGAGGGAGAGAGGGAGAAATAATAAAAAGAGAGAAATAAAGAAAAGAGAGAGAGGGAGAGAGGGAGAAATAATAAAAAGAGAGAAATAAAGAAAAGAGAGAGAGGGGAGAGCAAAAAAGCGAAAGCAATAAAAAAGAAAGAAAATAAATAAAGAAAAGAGAGGAATAAAGAAAAAATGGGTGAGAAGAAAAGAAAAAGAGAGAGAGAGAAGTAAAGAAAACAAACAGAGATAAATAAAGGGAAAAAAGAGAAAGAAATCTATGCGTGAAATGGTGACCTTTCGTTGTTGTTCTTTGTTTCTATTTGTTTTTGTTTTGTTTTTTTGTTTTTCGTTTGGGAAATCTTGTGGATCATATCTATCATATTCTTGATTTCACTGTTCACTGTTGATCAGCTGATCCACACACGTGACCTTGTGCCGGTCTAAATCAAATCGAGTAAACATCAGTGGTTGCGATAAAGCTTTTCCCAGAATGCATTCGCTTAACAGACGCACGCGCCCAAACGCCATGAATCAGAAGATGTGACAATGAAATTACAGACATTATTAATATACCGACAGACACGAATATCTATCGACTCGAGCTTCTCTTTAGGCCTTCATACGTGATAGATATTTAGCTATTTTACTTCGACCTGTTAACGACATTTCATTTCAATTTTGTTGCCTCCATTCCATTTCCCGGGGAACTTCCGGTTGACATCGTCAATATTTCAATTTGAAGGAGATTTCAGAAAAAAAACATTTTCATGATAGAGTTTGGGGACGTTATACTACAACTTTCTATCTCATTCTATCTTTCTATCTATCTATCTATCTATCTATCTATCTATCTATCTCGTACTATTCCTATCTATCTACCTATCTATCTATCGCATTCTATTCCGATCTATCTATGTCTATCTCGTTCTATTCCTATCTATCTATCTAATTCTATTCCTATCTATCTATCTATCTATCTATCTCGTTCTATTCCTATCTATCTATCGATCTATCTGTCTATCGCATTTTATTAATACCTATCTCATTCTATTCTTATCTATCTATCTATCTATCTATCTATGTCATTCTATTCCTAACTATCTAATTCATAATATTCCTATCATTAAATCTATCTATCTATCTATCTATCTATCTATCTATCTATCTATCTATCTCTCAGAATATTTATATATATTTAGGAATATATTTCACTTAATTCGTATGTGCCTGTCTTTTTATATCTATCTATATATATCATTCTCTTCAGTATCTATCTATCTATAAATTTATTCATGCCTATCTATCTATCTATCTATCTATCTATCTATCTATTCCTCTTTCATAGTTCATATCTAACTATCTATCTATCTATAAATTTATTCACACAATCTATCTATCTATCTATCTATCTATCTATTCCTCTTTCATATTTCATATCTATCTATCTATCTATCTATCTATATATCTATCTTTTATAGTTCATATCTATCTATCTATCTATCTATAAATTTATTCATATCTATCTATAAATTTATTCAAACAATCTATCTATCTATTTATTCCTCTTTCATATTTCATATCTATCTATCTTTTATAGTTCATATCTATCCATCTATCTATCTGTTTATTCATATATATCTATCCAGTTATCTATCTATATAATTTCCTTCTCTTCTGTATCTAAAATATTTTATACCTTTTGATTATTTCTTCCCAATGGCTTTTTGTATTTAGTATTATTCTGCTGAAAATTTAAAAAAAAAGAAAAAAGAAAATAAAGATAAGAGGAATTCTGGCTCAGTCTTTCTAATCGGGATGATGGCGTTTGTGAAATCATTCCCATCATGCAACAGCAACTGACTGTTCTCTCGAACTGTTTTCAAATTACGCCTTCTCCACCCACCCCCGAACGTCGATAGAACTGTTCCTCATTTGTTTATCCATTCATTCATTTATTTTCCGCTCACCTCGCATTGTCGGATCGGTTGACGCTACTTTTTACAAGTATTGTGTCAGCCACGATGTGTGATTTGTGCATGACGTCAATAGTCACGTGGTACTCGGAGGAAGTTGAAATGTTAGGCGGAGGCAGCCTCTCACGTGCGCACAATAGAGAGAGAGAGAGAGAGAGAGAGAGAGAAAGAAAAATAACAAGAGAGAGAACGAGGGAATGAATGAATTGAAAGAGAAAGATAAATAACTTTCTTTTTTCTAAGCAAATCTGATGACGATTTCCTTTCATGAATTTGAAAGCCGATGGGAAAAGTTGTTTTAGCGGTGTAAATCTATTACTGGTGTATTCAAATTAAAATTCCTTTTTTTTTTATTATTTAAATAAATTTCCCATTACATTATTCGGATCATTGCCCTCTTCTTTGTCGCCATATTTATTACAACGTTTCGGCCGTTGTACGCTTCGGTCTTCTTCAGGATGTTGGAATGTCAAACTGAACTCTTTGTTTCGCTCACTGGGGTAGACTGTTCTAGTTCCACGTGCCATGTTTAATGGATGTCAATCTTAAAATCCTGTTAATTCCCTTCTTCAATCTCTCCACTGCCTTAACCGGGTATTGAACTCACACTCTTTGGATCCTGTCACAGGATCTAACCAACGCCTTTATCGACTGTGCCATGTGTCCTTGAGGCCTTCCGTATATGAATTTCTGGGTATTATAAACCTAATATCTTCAGCCGCCATTTTTTACCAGTCCTCAAATTGCAAATTTTTGCTGTTATCATTCCGTGTTTTTACCAGAGCTCATATTACATTTTTTGTTGTTATTATCGCTTTTCTCTGGCACTTCTTATTACTGGTTCCCATATTGTATTTATTTCTATGCTTGGTAGGCTCAGGGGATTTTTGTGGCCTAGTATATGTGCTGATTTCTTAAGTTTACGAATTTTCCAAGGAGGACAATATTCCGAATAATATAAATACTGTACATCATACCTCATCTCAGAAATATAGACAGATACTGAAGGGCCGAAACGTTGTAATAAATATGGCGACAAAGATGAGAACAATAGTCCGAATAATGTAAATAATGTACATAATACCTTATCTCAGAAATATAGACAGATACTGAAGGGCCGAAACATTGTAATAAATATGGAAACAAATATGAGGACAATAGTCCGAATAATGTAAATAATGTACATAATACCTCATCGCAGAAATATAGACAGATACTGAAGGGCCGAAACGTTGTAATAAATATGGCGACAAAGATGAGAACAATAGTCCGAACAATACCTCATCTCCGAATAACGTTGTAATAAAATGGAGACAAAGATGAGGACATTAGTGTAAATAATAATACCTCATCTCAGAAATATAGACAGATACTGAAGGGCCGAAACGTTGTAATAAATATGGCGACAAAGATGAGGACAATAGTCGAATAATGTAAATAATGTACATAATACCTCATCTCAGAAATATGATACTGAAGAGCCGAAACGTTGTAATAAATATGGCGACAAAGATAAAGTCCGAATAATGTAGATAATACCTCATCTCAAAAATATATAGACAGATACTGAAGGGCCGAAACGTTGTAATAAGAATAATATGGCAAGAAAAGATGAGTAAAATAGTCCGAATAATGTAAATGTACATAATACCTCATCGCAGAAATATAGACTGATACTGAAGGGCCGAAACGTTGTAATAAATATGGCGACAAAGATGAGGACAATAGTCCGAATAATGTAAATAATGTACATAATACCTCATCTCAAAAATATAGACAGATACTGAAGGGCAAGAAAGATGAGTACAATAGTCCGAATAATGTAAATAGTGTACATAATACCTTATCTCAGGAATATCGACAGATACTTAATTTCCCTTGCAGACGCGGAGCTTTATTTAACTTGTATTAAGGTAATGCATAAGAACATATCCACTTTCAATAAAAGACTTTATAATGAATACAACTGCTAAAATGGCTTTAAGTCAACTGATAAAATGGCTTTATTAAAAAGCATTTACAATACTTATTAATTGCTAAGTCGGCAGCTAATTTGTTTTTTGTTTTGTTTTACGGCATATCAACCACAATGGGTTATTTAAGACCGACAAATTTTCCTTTTTTTCCAAAAATGTATATCTGGTAATATTTTTTTTTTAAATGTATAGTTTGGTTTGTTTTGTTTTGTGGCACATTAACCTCAATGGGTTATTTAATGCTGACAAGATTTTTATTTCTAGCAATATTTTCTTTTTTCAAATATTTATTGCTGATACTAATTTTTTTTTTTTAAAAAAAAAAAAAAAAAGTATTTCTGGTATTAAAATCTATTTTTACACTTTCATAGTGTTTTGAGTCAGGTTGTGGGGTCAACTATTTGCCCATAGCTGAGACCCTAACAGGTGTTACCACCCCGAGTCAGGGTAGACCTGGGAACATCAGCAATTAAGAAGTGGCTCCACGCTCCTCAAAACCTCCTGATCAGAGGCCTTGCTGCTGGACGTAGTTTATCGTCATACCCAGGACGCAAGTCGGCAGCTCAGAATGTTTCCTCATTAAGACAGGGACTAGAATTGAAACACGGCTTTCCGGTTACTAGTTCCGAGCCGTTAGCCATTACACCATCCGCACATCCAAGCTTATAGCACCCTTTTATTCCCCTTGATGACCCATCTAGGTACTGACTATGCTTGGCGTTGCTTAACGGTTGGTTGACTGATTTGTCTGTTTATCGGCTTATATACTCCGTATGGGTCATTTAATACAGAAATTTTAATCTGCTTTTAGCATGGAAGTAATAAAAATATGATTTATGTTATTCTGCTTTCACAGTTGAATACATGGTAGATGTTGCTCAGCATTTGTTCATATTGTGTTTTATTGTCTTGACGTGAAATATTGACTGATTTTTGAAAGAAAATATAGTTTCTTAAGTGATTAGGCGTTCCGAACACAAGATTTCGTGTAAGGGCCCAGATTATACGCGCAGATTAGTATATACCCGAGATTATTCAAGGTTAGTTTTTTTGTTGTTTTTTTTTAAATATATATATCAGGTGTGGGTTAGGTATGTGTTACGGTAGGTTATACTAGGTAAGTTTATATATATATATATATATATATATATATATATATACAAGATGTGTATTACCTCTTTCTTTTCATTTCTCTTGGAGCTTTTTACCTCTTTTTCTTTATCGTTTTTTCTTTCTTTGTCTCTTTCTTTCTTTCTTTTCATTTCTCTTGAAACTTTATTACCTCTTTCTTTCTTTCTTTCTTTCTTTCTTTTAGTCCGACAACATTTTTTCCTTAAACCTCCATTACACAATATTTTCTTTCTTTCTTTCTTTCTTTCTTTCTTTCTTTCTTTCTTTTCGTTTATCCTGAAGCTTTCTCTACCGCTTTCTGTCTTTCTCTTCATTTCTCTTGAAGCCTTTTTACCAGGTTTTTCTTTCTTTCTTTCTTTCTTTCTTTCTTTCTTTCTTTCTTTCTTTTCGTTTATCCTGAAGCTTTCTCTACCGCTTTCTCTATTTCTTTCTCTCCATTTCTCTTGAAGAAATTTTTTACCTCTTCTTTCTTTCTTTCTTTCTTTCTTCCTTTCTTTTCATATCTCTTTGAGCTTCTTAACCTCTTTCGTTTTACTCTTTTTCTTTTTCATTTCTCCCGAAGTTTTCTTTCTATTTGGCATTCATTCATTCTTTCATTCTTTCATTCTTTCATTCATTCATTCTTTCATTCATTCATTCATTCATTCATTCTTTCATTCATTCATTCATTCTTTCATTCATTCTTTCATTCTTTCATTCATTCATTCTTTCATTCTTTCATTCATTCATTCATTCATTCATTCTTTCATTCATTCATTCTTTCATTCATTCATTCTTTCATTCATTCATTCATTCTTTCATTCATTCATTCTTTCATTCATAACGTGTCAATGCACAACTCCCATATTTTTATCACCCCTTAAGACTGTAACGAAAATATCAACAGAAACCGTTCGAGGATCATGATCTCTCCACACGAATTATAACTTCTCTCCCTAACATCTTCTCCTGAATTATTTGTACGCATGTCATTCCTTCGCCATGACTTCCTCGTTTACTTCCTGTTCTTTCTTTAGAATGACGGCCATGTCAAAAAAAAAAAAAAAAATATATATATATACAGCATTGTTACCATCTGAGATAATGACAGCAATAGCAACTCTAGTAAAGAAATATATATATATATATATATATATATAAAAAGAAAGAACAGCAAGATATATAATCCGGTGTTCTTATAGATATTTTTGTTTTTACAAAATAGTGCTCAATGTAAATTTACAGAGCATTAATATTATAAATTAATTGATTTAAATTATGTTTTTTTTCGCTACACAGTTCTAACCATGTTTTAAAAATGGAAGCTAAAAGCCTCGAATTTAATTTTGTAATTAAATTAAAGACATTAGGTCTATTTCATCCTCAAGCGAATTTTGGAGTAACTTTTTAAAATTACTGGGTTTTAAATACACAGCTAAAACAAAATTCATGTTTCCAAGGTTACAGATAAATCTATTTTCCTAGACAGGGTTGACTGGGTTTTCAATATGTCTATATTTTAATGTATCAGTTATTGCGACGTTTGGGTCGTGGGAAGGGGTGTATTTTTTAATGAAATCTAACTTCCGTTAAAAGCCTGTCGTCTAGATTTTTTTAAATTATATTGTTAACGGCTAAAAATCTTACGGTTTTTTTTTCTTTCGTATATTTAAAGACTTTTTTTTCTTTTTCTTTTTTTTAGCTGTGTATTTAAAACCCAGTAAAAAGTTACTCCAAAATTTACTTCAAAATTACATTCGGAGCTTCTAGCTTCCATTTTTGAAACATCGTTAGAACTGTGTAGCGAAAAAAAAAACATATTTTAAATCAATTAATTTATAATATATATATATATTATATATATATATATCACCTAACTTATCATCGGCTTCTACTTGCTGTTTCTGAACTAATCCATCTTTTTTTTTTTTTTGTTTTTTTTCTTTTCTTTCACCAACAACCTACATCGTGGGTTATCTGATGTTTTTAGTCGGCTCCACTGTGATCTGTCTGTTTTTATTTCCCCCTTAAGCCTTTTGTACTTGACTTTGTGCGTCAGATCTGGCATTTGTTACGCCAACCAAAAACAGATTTTGCCCCCATTAATCACAAGTAGACGATTAGAGTCAGCTTTCGCGGAGATACCATGTTTATTGACGCTGTGAGTGTTTTCATTGATTATAATGCTTGTTAAACTAATACCTAGGTACCTCCAAATATTTACTATAAAAGAGGAGACACGATGAAAGAAAAACGAATCTCAAAGCATAATTTTAAAAAATACAAAAAAAAATATGTTTCTCTTAAGAGAGATAATGAAAAGATTTTTTTTTTCCTTTCATAAAAATACGTTCATAGTAAAATTATTTACCTGCTGCCCTAGGAAGCAAGATGTGGCACAAGGCCGAGTTTAAAGTGGGGTATCCGAGCCCGTAGGCTTGGGCAAAAATTCTATATAGACCACTTAAAAACGGAGTCAGCTTCCCGAGATGAGATTCTGCCCATCGGCAGAGCTTTGTCTGAAGGATACCCTCTGACATGTACTCGGGCAAAAAGTCCCTATACACCACGTAAAAATGAAGTCAGCCTCCCAAGATGAGATTCTGCCCATCGGCAGAATCTTGTCTGGAGGATACCCTCTGACATGTACTCGGGCAAAAAGTCCCTATAGACCACGTAAAAATGAAGTAAGCTTCCCGAGATGAGATTCTGCCCATCGGCAGAGCCTTGTCTGAAGGATACCCTCTGACATGAGCTCGGGCAAAAAGTCCCTATAGACCACGTAAAAACGGAGTCAGCTTCCCGAGATGGCGGTAAGGTCTCACAAATTCAAAGTTAAATTTGCTAAATGTAACCGCAAGTTCTATGATAACAGTTTCTTCTTTCGTATTTCTCGTTCGACATTGCTTTTAAATTTTTGAAGATCAAGAAGTCGGAAGTGACGTGCAAAAGAAGTCAGTGAGACGTGCGATAGAATAAACTATTAGCATAGAACCTGCGGTTACATCGAGCAATTTCAACTGTAAAATCAGGAGACGTTGCCTCCAATCTAGAAGCAATGAGATTAAATTCATACAGTCTAGGTACCATAGGACAATTACCATGAAAGTATTTATAGAAAAGTTATATGGAAGGGGCGTTACAACGGTGAGAAATTGACTGATGCCGAGATGACATGTCAGGACCATCATCATTGCACAATATTTTTCCTTAAAAAAATGTTGAAATAAATAAATATATATATATATATATATATATATATATATATATATATATATAATAATAAGAAAGAACAGTAGGATTTATAAACTTTTGTTCTTCCCAGTTACTTTTTATTTAAAAACAAAACAGTGCTCGACACAAACAGTAGAGTAAAATATTGCGATGGAATCAGATTTTAAAGAGAAAATAATATATATATATATATATATATATATATATATATGAAGAA